CCTGTTGCCAGACTTATAGTAGGATCAGGCGGCTATTAATAGCCCGTCTCTGAACATATGGAGGAGGAAAGTAAAGAATGAGTAACCTTGTTAAAAAGCTCCGCGTTTAACTGGCTGAGCCTCGGTCCAGTCAAAACCTCCACCTCTGAGACCTCCTGCAGTCCACCCGTTCAGGGGAAAACGCTCCCGGAAACGCTCCCGTTCAGAGCAGTCTGAAATAATTTCCCTCTGGGATTATTAAAGTATTTCTGATTCTGATTCTGATTCTGATCAGAGGCTCATTCTGCTGCACTGATTGCACAAGAAGGCGTTAGCTTAGCTTATTAAAAAGATTGGAAGTAGAGGAGTGGAGTAGAAGTACAAGTACTATATGAAAAAATTGACTTGAGTAAAAGTTGAAGTGTTCTTTCAACACCAGACTTAACCCTGTAATGCCAAATGTGTCATATTTGATTCATACGGTTTTTGAAATGTTTTGCGTCTGACACCTTTTGCATAATTTAATGGTAAAAACTTTGCTCAAAATCCTATTGTACACAATCAGATACACCTGATAACAGGGGGCAGAAGACTACACAAAAAATAATCTTGATTTATCGCATAGTAATAAATTATTAATATCAAAAATTTATTTCTGTTTGTTCTTTTTACATATTTTGTAAAAAGGCCAAATATAGACTTAAAACAAAAAAAAGTCATTATCTGTTTTGTTTTATTCTTGGATCAGGCTTTAAAGGGTTAAGTGGAAGTATGGAAGTACTCCATTTTTTTAAATTGAAGTATTGCGAGTAGAAGTATTTAAAAAATAGCTACTCACTTATTGAAAGTACTTACAATTTCGCAATCTTTAGGAAGGGATTTTTTTATAGGCTATAGTTGATCGCTCAAATCGTCCAATGAGGAAGGAGTTATCTCCTGTTCTGAGCAGTCTGACGATCAGAGGCTCATTCAGCTGCTCTAATTGCACAAGGCGTTAGCTTAGCTTATTAAAAAAGACTGGAAACTGCTTCCAAAGGAAACAAAAGCGCCCTCTAATCACAGTTTACCAACTCTGTCCAAAATGCGAGAGGAATGGAGGGTTTATGGGGAGTTAGGAACCGTTTCTTGGCCTGATGAGGCCACCTTTATGGTGGAATTTGTTCATTGATTTTGGGGTTTGCTTTCCAAACTTGTGCTTTCGTAGAGCTTCTGATACTTTGGCTCTGAATGAATGAAGAGGTGGTTTGGGGGGGGTGAGTTTAGTTTAGTTTAATGTTACGTAATGATGATACGAGGACCAGATCTGATCTCTGAAGCTTTTTAGACAATGTCTGCATCCACTTATTATTTCTTGGAATCTGTTTTGTGTTTGAAGGGAAAGTTTAGAGACGGCCGTCTAAAGTGAATAATCTAATTACGGAGACATTAGCATGTGATCAGGCTAATGTCTGGGCTGTTTTGGACACCGGATCTGCTCCCTGTCAGGTTCTGGTTTCTCTGAAAGATGATGATTTCCAGTCACAAGAAGGCCTTAACACAGCTCTTTTCTGTTTGGAAGCTTGTTTCTTGATGGTGTTTGCTCCATGACAGTCAGATCAGTGGTTTCAGACCTTTAGAAAACACTTCTGCTCACACTTTCTCCATCTTTCTGTTCTTCTGAGAGGTATTCGTAAAAGTTGAAGTGTTCTTTCAACACCATACTTAAGTGGAAGTTTGGAAGTACTCCATTTTTTTTTTTCACTTAAGTATTGCAAGTAGAAGTATTTCAAAAATGGCTACTCAAGTATTGAAAGTACATACAGTTTCGCAATCTTTCGGGAGGCATTTTTTTAAAGGCTATTATGACATATTATGACTATTTATGACACTATGACTTGGGATGATTCATTACGTTTACATATCAGTAATAAGTAACGATTCAGCCCTTGAAAGTAAAAGTATTAAATTAATCAAAAATATGTAGTGGAGTAAAAGCAAAAGTATTAAATTAATCAAAAATATGTAGTGGAGTAAAAGCAAAAGTAGGGCAAAAAATATATACTCCAATAAAGCACATATACTGCATTTTGGTACTTAATTACAGTACTTAAGTAGCTCTACTTCCTTACTGTATATCTCTGTCAGAGGGAGGGGGGGGTTATGGTAATTTTGGTCTGAGATGTTCCTGTTTCTTCCCCTCCAGGGAGAGCTTCCTGGTTCCTGTGTGTCCGGAGTCCTGCCCGCTGGTCCAGTCCCTCCTGAGCGGCTCCGGCCGGGTCTTCCTGCTGCACGGCCACGCCCAGCTGAAGACCGGCATGCAGACCCAGGACAGACACCTCTTCCTGTTCAGCGACATCCTGGTCGTCGCCAAGGCCAAGTGAGCACGTGGCCTTTAAAGGGGATGTATTATGAAAAAAACCAAGTTTTTAATAATTTTATTGTGTACATTTGGGACTGTGGAGGGCCTATTAGCAGGCAAAGTGTAGAAAAAATGTCATGTTTTTGTGGGCCGCCTCAGTCTGAATCCAGGAGATAAATCAGGAGGTTTCAGGAGTGGGTAGTTTCTGACGTCATTAGCTCTAGCTCATTATAATATTCCAGCCTTTCACCTGCATGTTGCCCCCCCCCCTCAGCTTACTCCCCTATCTGTGGCAGACGTCCTGGTAGCATGGTAGCGTTAGCATGGTAGCGTTAGCATGGTAGCGTTAGCGTGCCGGCGTGGGCACACCTCCCTGAAGAAGTGGGTGGATTGCCTGTGTCTCATTTGCATTTCAAGAGACAGGCGCTCCAAAGCGAGCTACTTTTTTTTTGGTTTGAATTCCGTATTTGGCCTTTTAACAGAATATGTAAAAAGAACAAACAGAAATACATTTTTGATATTAATAATTTATTACTATGCGATAAATCAAGATTATTTTTCGTGTAGTCTTCTGTTATCAGGTATATCTGATTGTGTACAATAGGATTTTGAGCAAAGTTTTTACCATTAAATTATGCAAAAGGTGTCAGACGCAAAACATTTCAGAAACCATATGTATCACATGTGATACATTTGGCATTACAGGGTTAACTTGCTGAAATATGGAATAATATGACTCCTTTAATTGATCGATTATTTATGTAGTGCTTCACAACAGCCAACCTAGCCGAGCGAAGCACTTTACAGTGATTTTAAACCACGAAAAGTGCAATAAAAAGTTAGGAAACAAGTCCAAACCCAGCTCCTGGCCTCTGGGTTGCAGGTCAGCTAACCACTTTAAGCAGAAGGCGCAGGTGCGTGTGTGTGAGATGTGGACGGCCGGCTGCCTGGACGAGGTGTGTGAGGGCAGCACCCCCCCCGAACGGGGATTCGTCATGGGCTGGCCCACCTGGAACTGCGTGGCCGTGTTCAGGTAACGATATTTCTGCCTCTGAGGCCGGAAAGCCTCTTTAGATGTCAGCACACAGAAAACAGACCGGAGGAAACCCACCCCAGTGAAGCCAAAGAGGAGCTAAAAGTCAATTATATTTCTATTTTTATTGTTATTTTCATTATTAAACAATACACCAGTCATCTCCAACTATCTGTTCATTACAACAGACTTATATTTATCTAGCTAATTCCACAGGATATACAGACGGGGATGAATGGTTCTCCCCCTCTATCACACACACAAAAAAAAAAGAGATTAATAACATACAAAAATAACGAACTTAACTCCTTTGGCTAAAACCAAAAATGCCTGGGTGTGTTTCTGTTATGCAATGGGAAAATTAAATAAATATTTTACTGAGGCATTAGGGTGAAAATGAAAGGTATAGAAAACAAGAGAAAGAGGAAGCCCTGGTATCCATACCAGGGCTATACATGAGAGTGACATATCTGATCCATCTTTCCCATCTTTTCTTAAACAGATCCCTTTTAAATCTTAAAACAAAAGTAATTATTTTCGTTTTCATTCTTCATTCTGTGTTTTTGGAGCTCAAACTGCTGCTCATTTGGACTACAGATAGAAAATGAGAAACATGAATGCATTCCCTCATCAGGAAAACATTTGAAAAGTCTGATGTAAAAGGAATTATTCGTTAATGGTCTCCTTAATGGAATTAGCTATTGAGAGCAAAGTGAAAATTAAAGCAAAAGAGTGGTTTTTTGGTCTGATTTAAGCAGACGAAGCGTCCCCGGTAAGGTGGAGGAATTAAATATGCACTTTAAAACATGGTCACTAAGCCTGTAAATGTGCAGCTTACAGCTCCAAACTGCTGTTCAAAGCCAGCTTTTTCATACTTGGAGGAATTATTTCTATAAATGAACTTGGCCTTTTCAGTTTTTAAACACATCTGGGACCTTATTTCAACATAAATCTAACTGGAAAATATTTTCTTTCTGTCGTCCTTTTCATAAATGATGTGAACTTTAGCCAGATGGTCTGAAAGAGTGACAATAATTTGGAGAATGCAGAGTCCTCACCTGTGTTTTTAAACTTTATCTTAGCTCGTCGGAGCAGAAGGAGAGGTGGCTCTCCCTCCTGAAGAGGTAAGTCAAGTCAAGTCAAATTTTATTTATAGAGCACATTTAAAATAACCAAAAGTTGCCAAAGTGCTGTACAGGTAAAAATAAACATAAAAAGCTAACATAATTTACCTACATATATGTAATTTTAATGTAAAATAAAGAGGTAAAAAGGTAAAAAAACCAACCTAAGGTTAAAATATAAGAAGCCGTGTCAAATAAATTAGTTTTTAAAGAAGTAAACTCTCTGCAAGCACCAACAGAGAAGAGGTTCCCTCTGAGTGGGCTTTAAAGATCTGACTTCTGTCTGCAGTCGCATACGGGAGGAGAAAGAGAGCGAGGAGCCTAAAACCATCCCCCTGAGGGTGTACGGGAAGGGGATCAACAGCTTTGCTGTGGTGAGTGGACGCTGGTGTCCGAGGAGCTGGAAATGAACCGGAGGCTGAAATGAACCGGAGGCTGAATCCTTTCTCTCTTCTCTTTCAGACCAAGACGCTTCCTGTCAGCAACTCGGACTGCACCAATGAGGTGATCCGGCTGGCCCTGCAGCAGTTCGGCATCATAGTGAGTACTCAGACAGGGGTCCTGCCCAGATTCCAGTGCTTATGTTTATGTTTATGTTTATGCATTTGGCAGACGCTTTTATCCAAAGCGACGTACAGAGTAGACACAATATTACATTTATCATCACTATGACAATAAGCTATATAGAAGAGAAACACTGATCAGAGTCAGTGGTGAGATAGAGATAGAGGTAGAGGGACTACAGAAGGAGCTGTGGGGGGTAGAGGTACGGGTTAGGGTTAGGATAGGAGCTGTGGGGGG